GGCGAACCGCCTGAGACATCCCCACAATCTGGGCACGATCGGGCAAATGTCCCACCCCCTGGCGGCCCCCCCCCCCTGAGGTGCTCAAATGCCATGCTTCCTACACCGCGATGAATAGGAGGCCCGCAAACCAAGAGAGAGAAGCTCAAGAAGCCAAGCAGGCCAACCGCCTCGGACGTCCCCACTATCGGGGCGAGAACGGGCGAATAACCCACCCCCTGGCGGCCCCTCCCTGGGGTGCTCTAATGCCACATCTGCTACACCGCGATGACCATGGAACTTTGAAAAGAAATACGTAGGTCCAAGCAAGCGGACAGGCAAACCGCCTGAGAGATCCCAACAATCTGGGCGCGAACGGGCAAATGTCCTACCCCCGAGCGGCCCTCCTTGGGATTCTCAAATGCCACGCCTGCTACATCGCGATGAGCATGGGGCTGTGAACAAGGCACCAAACAGGCAAACTGCCTAAGGCATCCCCACAATCTGCGCACGAGCGGGCAAATGTCCTACCCCCTGGCGCGGCCCCTTCTGCGGGTGCTCAACCGCCACGCGTGATATATCGCGAGAAGCATGGGGCCCTGAAAAGAAAGAAGTCCAAGTAACCAAACAGGCAAACCGCCTGACACATCCCAACATGTCCCACCCCGTGGCGGCTCATCCTCGAAGTGCTCAAGTGCCACGCCTGCTACATTACGATGAGCATAGGGATTTGAAAAGAAAGAGGTCCAAGCAACCAAACGGACAAACCGTCAGAGACATCCCCACAAGTTGGCCCACCCCCTGGTGCGGCCTCTCCTTGGGGTGCTCATCAACCGCCACGCCTGCTACATCGCTAGAAGCATGGAGCTCTGAGCCAAGAAAAGCCCAAGCCACCAAACAGAAAAAACGCCTGAGGCATCCCCACAACAAGGGCGCGAACGGACGAGTGCCCCCCCCCCCCTCGGCGGCTCCCCCCGGGGTGCTGAAACCAGCGCCTCGCTCAAGACAGCCTCACTGCCTGTTCTTAAAGCACCGATGTCCTAGCTGCCACACAGGCAAACCGCCCGACAGAGACACCCCCACAATCTGGGCGCGAACATGCAAATGCCTCACCCCCTCAAGGCCCCATCGTGGGGTGCTCAAGCGGCACGCCCGCATCGCGAGAAGCATGGGGCTCTGACTGTATGAATGAGGCGTACATGTCTGAGCATGTGCGAGTCTGACTATGAGTGGGTCTAAGTGGGAGTGAATATGAGACTGAGCGAGTCTGAACGAAGACGAGGAAGGAGGAGGTGAGTCGGAAGCGTCTGAGTACCAACAAACACTCCATCTGAGGATGAGGGAAAAACGTCAGACCCAGCCTCCCAAAGCCTGTCAAAACTCTCGAATCCTCCTCCTCCTCCTCCTCCTCCTCCTCCTCCTCCTCCGCTCCTTCGCTTCTCCACGTATTCTCTTCTCCTCTTATCCTCGTTTCCTCTTCCCCTCTCCTCTCCTATCCTTCTCCTCTTCTCCTCTTCTCCTCTTCCTCTCTTATCCTCTTCTCCTCTTCTCCTCCTCCGCCTCCTCCTACTCCTCCTTATCCTCCTCTTCCTCCTCCTCCTCCTCATCCTGGCGCGTGGCTGACGCAGCAGAGTTCGTTGGCAGCTTCCTCGTCCTCCTCCCATCTCCTCTTCATCCTCCTCCTCATCCTCCTCCTCCTCCATCCCTCTCCCACTCTCGCGCGCCCATCCGTCATATGAATCAGTAGTCCATCCCTGTCGCGCCACCAAACTTGTCGGCTGGGCGATCCTGGCGACTCGCCCGAGACCTTCCTGTTTACAAGCTAGAAGCTTGACATGTCCAACAGCTACATGGACCGAGGGCAGGTCGTTCTCAGCATTGGGCTGTCGCTCTGGCGCCGCGGACATTCGTTTGCAAAATTACCCGAGACGTACTCAACCCCTTCTCCACGCGACGCAAACATTTGCATCACAGCTCCATGCGACAGAACACATCTCCAGATATGCCCGATCAAGGCTGCCATCATCTCCGCCGTGCCTCCCAGGAGCCCACAAGTGGCGACGGTTGCGCAGTTCGCAGCCACTCAAGGAGCTGCGAGGTCTCGGCTGGATCCGTGTGGCCGCCGACTCCGCTGGACCTCCCAGGAACCTACGAAAGTAGCGACGGTTGCGCAGTTCGCAGCCACCTAGGCAGCAGCGAGGTCTCGGGCACTCCGCTACTCCGCGGTGCCTCCCAGGAGTCCACGCAACTTGCGTGGACTCCTGGGAGGCACCGCGCAACTTGCAGCTGGCGCCACTTAGTGGCGCCAGCTGCACAGTTCGCAGCCACCCAGGCAGCAACGAGGTCTCGGGTATCCCGCTACTCCGCCGTGCCCCCCAGGAGCCCACGAAAGCGGCGGCGGTTGCACAGGCCGCAGCCACCCAGGCAGCAGCGAGGTCTCGGGTACCCCGCTACTCCGCCGTGCCTCCCAGGAGCCCACGAAAGTGGCGGCGGCTGCGCAGTTCGCAGCCACCCAGGCAGCAGCGAGGTCTCGGGCACTCCCCTAGTCCGCCGTGCCTCCCTGTATGGAGGCAACGCAAGCGGCCACAGTTGCGCAGTTCGCAGCCACCCAGGCAGCAGCGAGGTCTTGAACACTTCGCTACTCCGCCGTGCCTGCCAGGAGCCCACGAAAGTGCCGGCGGTTGCACAGTTCGCAGCCACCCAGGGAGCTGCAAGGTCTTGGACACTCCCCTAGTCCGCCGTGCCCCCCTGGAGCCTGCGCAAGTGGCGACAGTTGCACAGTTCGCAGCTACCGAGCAAGCTGCAAAGTCTCGGGTACTCCGCTACTCCGCCGTGCCTGCCAGGAGCCCACGAAAATGGCCACAGTTGCACTTCAACGCGACCGTTACACCTACGTTGGTATACGGGCTGGAAACTTGTGCGTTGGATCATAAGCAACTGGACCACCTAGACATTACGCAGAGGAAAATGCTCTGGCGAATCGTCGGCTGGGTGTTCGACGATAGCGATTCGTGGGAAGATGCTGGCCGCAGAATGAAGCAGAGGCTCGAATCTGCCAGGCGCCTGCACTGCATTGCAGGTTGGTCTTCGGTTGTATCAAAGCGCAAGAAGCATTTACTGAGTCGTCTGATGTCCCACCATGCTCCGTCGCTGCCGAAACTAGCGCACGAATGGTCCCCTACTGCATGTGCGGCGCTGAACAACAGCCGGCCACATCGTGCCAGAGGCCGGCCGCGGCGTCGTTGGTTTGACGACGTGCAGCTCTGACGGCGCATTTTTGTTCTTTCTCCCCAGCTCTGCACAGGGCCGATTTGTTCGATCGGGCGCAACGCAACGCAACGCACAATTTGGAGCCCCCCAAGAAGCTGCGAGGTCTCAAGTACTCCGCTACTCCGCCGTGCCACCCGGGAGCCCACGATAGCACGATAGCGTGCAGGACGCAGGACGCAGGAGGAGGGGGGAGGAGGAGAAGGTGTGTGGCCGCAGTGCTCGATTCAAAACGAGAGCCCAACACAGGAGGGTTGGGAAACAGATGCAAGGATGGCAGGCGGTTCGACTTCAAATGTGGCACTCGTCGGAAGCTTACTCAAACCGTACCGCCACTAATATAGAAACATTGCGACAGCTACACGGAAGAAAAGCGCTTCCCTTTCAAAGTGAAGCTCTCGCCTGGGATTTCGCTGCAGTTGATGAACGGGCGTCTGAATCTGTGCAGCAGCTACACAGATGGAGGGAGGTACATGTTGAAGGCTGGGCTGTCACAGGGCGCTTCTTTGAACTTTCTGACCCACCTTGTCGAACCCCTTAACTATAGCTCAAAGGATGGAGAGCAGCTTCATTAAAAACGAAGCTCCCGATTGAATTGCAGGCCAATGAGGCGAACGTCTTCAGGGGTGGGGGCTTCGCGCAGCGAAAAAGAATGCTTGCCGGACGAATGAGGACGGGCCAGAGACGGGCGGGAGGGTGCATTGCAACATTGATCGGTACATCTTGGGTTTACTCTGGCCCCCCTCCTCCTCAAGCACCTCTTACTCCTTCTCCTCCTTCTCCTCCTCCTCTTCCCAGCCACATGGCCTGTTCCGCAGACCCCGAACCAACAAATCTGACCATCCCTCCAGGGCGCGCCCCAAACTTCCGCCAGCGTCCGCCGGCCTTCCGCCGGCTTCTGCTGGCGGACCCGTCGCCGCTTTACCTCCGCCGGCTTCCGCCGATCTTCTGCCGCCTTCCGCCGAGGAAGAGGTGCCAAATGCTTCGAAGGAGGAAGAGGAGGAGGAGGAGGGAGAGGGGGAGGAGGGGGAGGGGGAGGGATAGGAGGAGGTCTGGGACCCCATCCGTCTCTCGGACACATGAGCGACAGATCCACGCGTGCACGCACACGGGCCTGAGACACAGCCCACAAGCTCAGGCTGCACGCACGCTGCGAGTGCTGGACAACAGCACGCGCAGCGTGAAAAGTGCGAGAGGGCACAAGGGCCTTGTCACGAGGCATGCCTTCCTTCGAGCGGGCAACCTCCAGCGCGGTTCCTCCTCCTCCTCCTCCTCCTCCTCCTCCTCCTCCTCCTCCTCCCAATGCGACATGGCATCTGCTGGCATTGTCACCACGGGTGCTCTCCTCCTCCTCCTCCCCTCCTCCTCCTCCTCCTCCTCCTCCTCCTCCTCCTCCTCCTCCGCCTCCTCCTCCTCCTCCGCCTCCCCCTCTCCTCCTCCTCCGCATCCTCCCCCTCCTCCGCCTCCTCCTCCTCCTCCTCCTCCTCCTCCTCCTCCTCCTCTCCTCCTCCTCCTCCTCCTCCTCCTCCTCTCCTCCTCCTCCTCCTCCTCCTCCTCCTCCTCCTCCTCCTCCTCCTCCTGTTCCTCCTCCTCCTCCTCCTCCTGCTCCTCCTGCCTCCTCCTCCTCCTCCTCCTCCTCCTCCTCCTCCTCATCCTCCTGCTCCTCCTCCGCCTCCCCCTCCTCCTCCGCCTCCTCCCGCCTCCTCCGTGTCCTCGATCCTCGATCCGCCTCCCCGCCGCTGGCGCCGCCCCGCCTTGGGGGCCAGAGCCTTCGCCTTGTTCACCTGCCGCGCCGCCGCTCTCGTGATGCCGGGGTGGGGACCGTCGTCGTCGTCGGCGGCGGCTGCGGCGGCGTCGGCGTCGGCGTCGGCGTCGGCGTCGGCGTCGTAGTCGTCGGCGTCGTCGTCGGCGTCGCGTAGGCGTCGTCGTCCTCGTCGTCGTCTTCTTCAACGACGTCGAGGACGTCGAAGACGGCGTGACAGTCGCCGAAAACGGCCAGTACGCCGCCATCGTCGAAGATGGCGTCGTCGTCGAGGACGACGTCGAGAGCCCGAGCAGAGACAGCGTCGAGCGGGCAGCAGCGCACCGAGTCGTAGCAGCGTAGAACAGTCGTGCTTCCTTGCCAGACAGAGGAGGAGGAGGAGGAGGAGGAGGAGGAGGAGGAGGCGGGTTGGGAGCCATTGAGGGCCCGATGTATATATTTTTGCTTCTTGCGCATAGATTGATTTCTGCTACGCCCGCCAGGCGTAACTTGTTAGCATGCAGGCCGAAGTCGGCATGAATGTTCTTTCGCACGAACGCTACAGCCACGATGCTCAAGTTCGCCCAACGTAAAAAGGAGGAGGAGGAGGAGGAGGCGTGCTGGGATCGAGACTGAGCAGAGTCGGCGTCGACCAGGATGCAGCGCACAGACCACAGCAGCTTCGAATCCGATCCTTCCTTTGCCAGACACTGGAGGACGAGAGAGGACTCTGGCAGCCAATCCTGCCGCTTCTCGACCCCGCCAACCTACACCTTTGAAGGGGCCAAGGGACACAAACGAATAAATAGACAGAAGTCCCAGGATTCCGGTAGGCTTCCATATCCCATATCTTCGGGATGCGCGCCTCCCCTTCCACTTCCCATGTCTGTGTTCCACGTGTTTTTTCCTGGGAATCGTCGATTCTGTGTGTCTGTGCGTTTTCCCCTCCTGAACTCTCCCCACCTGTCAGGCCTGCGCCGGATCGAATCGCGAAACCGGATCGGATCGGAGACTGATCGGATCGCGCCCGTGTCGGCGAGGCATCGTATCGGAGCCACACCGCTTGGGAGATCGCGGCTCGGGCTCGGCCCATGCAGGCCAGAGAGGGAGTCGGTCCAGGACGAATCTTAGGTCGGGCATGTCCTCCTACAGGCGGATTTGGGGCGAAAATTGCAAAATAGTCAAACAAATGTAAAAAACATCGAAATAGTAGAAAAAATAGTCCCCGGGCTATTTGTTGTTAATTATCTTTGAATTTTCCCCCTGTAGAGGGACAGGCCCGACTCAGGACGAATCGGATCAGCTCTGGCAGGGGGGAACCCAAAGATGGCGATGCCACTGCTCCTCGCACCTCTCCTGGGCGCGTGCTGACCGGGACGTCGACGCGGATCCGGCCGTGGCGGCGAGGGACGGGTGGCGGCATCGGCAGACTTCACTCCGCGGAGGATCGAGATCGGCATCGAAGTCTGGGGATCGGAGCCCACGGGATGGAGCTGGCAGGTCGAATCGGGCCGTGAGCAGCCCCGAAGGCTGTTCCCCCCAAAAGTACCACCAGCGAGATCGGCCAGGGCTGGGGGCGACGACCTCGTCCGCCCGCATGTCGCAGGTCATGTCCTGCGGCGGCGGGAGCGGCAAAACGGACGAAACGACCGGCCTCGATGGTCGAGGTTCTCTGCAGTCCTGGCGTCGCAAGCAAGATTGGCGACGGCCAATGTTCTACGCGGTCGGCCTCTGCGATCCGTTCTCCCGCCCAAGGCTGTCGAAGCACCCCTTAGGAAAAAAAGCCAGTCCCCAGGAGGAAGTCGAGATCCCCGGGGGGACCCACGTCGCGACGAAAGATGCGTCGTTGGCCTCGCGCTCACACCTGTCCTTGAGATTGAAAGGCGCAAGGCGATGACAACCTTGGGGACTTGGGGATGTCCCCTCAGAGCACGAGGGCATGTCCTTGGAGATCGGCACCGAGGGGAGGTGATGCAAATCACAGGGTGTAAGGGAGGGATCTGTTCCGCCAGGCGTGATGGCGGCACTCGCTTGATTGAAAGTGCGGGGTAGAGACCCTCGAGTTCTGCAAACGTAGCAACCGCGTGCGATGACGAAGTCTCGAGTATGTAACGGCCGGTTATGTGCAGAGGCGGCCGACATGCGGCCGAAATGAGGAGGCGAGGGTAAGATGTGCGTGTGAAAACGGCAGATGTCATGGTGCGATACGCACGAGCTCCCTTTGACACTAAAATCAACTTGCAAGCGCTACCGTTCGCAAATCGAGACAATCGGAATGCGATTATTACAATGAGTATAGTTTGGTATGATTGTTCGCGCGACGAGCAAGGCAGCTGCAAATGCCTTGATGGCTGGACACCGCACGAGTATCCCACCTTGCGTGAAAGCCTCACTGGTCTTCCCTCACACCCATCATTCACTCACCGCTGCATCGAACGCTTAATGCGTAGGCATTCGCCGCTCGAGCGAAACGCCTGCTCCCTGAACCGCCGCTTGAGCGAAACGCGCACCCC